CTTAAAGTTGCCAAGGTTGAGGAACCCTGTGCTAGGGTGTGATTTAATGGATCTACAAAGAGGAGGGTGATGTGAGAAATCAAGGCTATCAGGAAGGAGGGAATGCATTCCAGGAGGGGAAAGGAGACAAGAGGCAACACAGTCCACAGGGGGAGCGTGAGAATAGAAAAAGATTCAGGATAGCGACTCCCTAGAATCTCCCAGGGTATATCCACTAGTTGCTGTAGTACAGTTAGTCTGGCAAGATTCTGTCTATATGGCATAAGCAAATAAAGGAACTGAACTCAACTGGACTGTTTCAACGTTGTTCTTGGGCTGGGCCTGACATAGGGAGACAGGATGAAATCCCTGAATGTTCCCCATACACGCAAAGCAGTGCCTCAAATTAAAATGAAAAGAAGGCATCCTGAAGCCGCGGGCGTTTATAATGGCTTACATCAGTATGAGTCAGAGCTTCCTTCATCAGGGTTTTCTTGCACATTTCTCTCTCTCTCTCTCTCTCTCTCTTTTGAAGTAGGAAGCAAATGAAGTTAAATTGCTTTCTCTAAGTTACCCCAAATTCCTAGGGCAAAATGGGAAAACTTTGTTCAAGTGATCCTAATTCTTAGACCAACCCAACACCACTACTGAAATAACTAAAAAGACAAGGGAATGTCAACTGTCAAACACAGGAACAGATTACACATGGTACAAATCGCTCAGGGCTTCATTCACCATGCTTTAGTTTCTCCTGTTATACTGGCAAATAAGAGTATGGGAATATATAGAAACAGAAATGAGAGCAATATAGAACAAAGTAATCTTAATAAGATATACTTAGAAAAGCTGCCTGAAGCATAACTGAAAATAGAGAGGTACAAACTGGTTCATGCATGAAGCAGCTGTTTTGGGGTGTCTGCACCCAAATGAAACATTTGGTGTGTATATGGAATAAAATGTGGTCCTTCAGGCAGAGAATAGGTAAAAGCCAAGGATACTGGCAACAGCTAAGGGGAGGCTGGGGAATTGAGGGAAGGGAGAGACAGTGGGAAGATGTGGGAGAGTCAGGTCAGTGGGTGCTGAGGGGGAAAGGGAGATGGGATAACACATATCAGCCTTGTTCTACTTACTGAGTAAAATCACTCCAGGATCCCTGTGGGTTTGGCTTTGGCCCAAGCCCAGAATAGCAAACCCATTCTGGGTTTGGGTATTCCCAATCCATGGCTGATCTGGAATGTGATTGTTTTGGGTTTAAAGAAAAACATATCTTCTGTTTTATGCTGGCCTTAATTAATAATATAGCCTTATATTACCTCCAAGTTCCATATTTTTCAAAGTGCCTCCCCCCTCCTCCCATTTCATACATTGCAGTGAGCTATAAGCTAATCAGGAGTATTTTGGTTTGGTCAAAATTATCTCAGCAAAAGCCATACCTGGGCTACAGCAGAATCAGCCTTATCAAACACAGCAAGCAGGGCAGGAGGTCTATCACATTAATCCAACAAGAGCATCTTCGGTCATAATTAAAGATAGCACACAAAATTGCATAATTACCCATATTCTGTGAAAACTGTGTTTTCTGAAAATGTTTAACCTTCAGCTACTTTTTCCATTACTGAAATGCAGAACAAAACAGAACTACTCACCATCTAACCATGAGCCCATGTTCAAGGAAGTTTTTCAGGTTGGGAAGGGTCTGCCTTAGATCTGGAGTCCCCAGCCCATGTTGGTATCTAAGCTGTGGAGAGAGAACAGAGAAATTTAGAAGGCAATTCCAAGCAGCTGGAGATGCTTCAGAGGACCTCGAGGAGGTGGGTTGTGTTGTGAGCTGAATGATTAAGGACTTCAGAGTCCAGGGAAAGAACTTTGCTATTTGAGAACTGAACTTGTATGGACACTTAGGAGGAAGGGAATTTGTATAGAGAGATGGGTGGCATATATAAATTCGAAGAAATAAATAAATAAACCCTGCTGACTTGCGTATGTGAGCATACATAGGGGGACACTCTATGTTTTGAAGAGACTTGTAACGATCCATGGCAGAGGCACAAGATGTCACAGAGATACTTTCAGACTCTTACACAGAAAGACATTCAAAGACTGACACCTGCAGACAAATCAGCAGGAATTCGAATGTACCGTATACAGGAGCAGGAGTGCTCGGGCTAAGCTATGGTACAGAATTCATGCTCAACCTCTCTTCCATGTCACCTCTGCCCCTCGGCTCCACAGACTAAAGGAACAGCTAACCAGATTGTATAGGACGCTGCGGGATGCTGTATATCAGTGGCACGCTGACCTAAAAATAAACGAGGTCACCCACCTCCACAAGCAGCAAGTACAAGTGTGCTAAGCATGGAACATCAGCACAGTGAAATAGTAAAAGATGAGACAGAACCATCCCATAATGAAATAATCTTATCATTCTCCATCTCAAGACTGCCTTTGCAGTTTTGGTGAGGGCACAGAGTACTAGTATGACTAGTAAACAGCATGTCCTGCTTGGGAGAGTTTGCTCCTCAGAAATCCAGTTGACCGATGCACAAAATTTCTGCTGACTTGCAGGGGACAAACAAGGCATCCTGCACAAGCCACATCAGACTGAAGAAAGCAAGACCGGAGGGGGCCCGCAGTGCTCAGCCTGCTCCCTTTTGTTCCTGCTGAACACAAGCAGAACTGTACTTGTGTGTGCACTGCTATTCTTCAGGAATGGATAGAAAATATTAAATAAGCCTACAACATTTTGATCAGAGGAACTAAGCAACAGATAATATCATGGGCATCCACCCGAGGGTCAAACGACAAAACGCTGCTGTTGATGTCATCATGAAAGTGCCGCAACTTAATACACGCATCAAATGCCAGGATACAAAGACATCACTGTGGCATTTATGGGATGTTGTTGTTGCACGTGTGTTTTAGTTTTGTTGTGGTCGTTCACTACATAGCTGTATCTGGTTACTTTAAAAGAAATCATTTTTCAACCACCCATAATCAAAGATAAAGCATTACTTTGAACACGACTTGTAAAATTACAGAGCAATTCATCTTCCACCTCTTCTCAGTTACCATTTCCTTCAGCATGATGTTATAGGAGAAGCCATGATTTATCTGTGTTCAAGGGCTGAAATATGGACTGTCAGGAAAGGAAACTGATGCTTTGTATAGATTAGGCAGAGTTGCTTCTAGATGAGCCAAAGGTAGAGCATGGAACTGCTTGACACCACAAGTGCCATTCTGGCGTAACTGCAAACAGTCGCTGAACGAGACAGTCACTAAACAAGGACTACTTGTAATACAAACTACCTTGTTTTGGGGCAAGCCTACAACCTTAGTTCTAACAGTTCAAGCACAGCTACGTGAAAAGACTGGTTTTCTGATTTTGATTTTCAGGGGACAGTAACCACTGCCCACCAGTTAAATTTTATGAAAAACCTTTGCTTTTAGAAAGGCTAGACATTTTTTTTAAAATGGAACTGGGGGATTCTGACTTATCCATTTTGCCTTCCATGCCTTCCCATATTTCTGCCCGTTCTCCCATCATTCTATTTTTCCAGAAGGACAAGTGTCCTGAACTTGAGCCTATCAGGAATCTCATTACTTTCAGCAGAACAAGAGTGAGATACTTATTTTCCGTGACTGGAGGTCTCAGCTTTAGGCAAAATGTGTTTCTTTGCAGATCTTCTGTGGTTGCAGTAGTAAGCCCCTTGAGAGATACATGATACCATAATGGAAATGTTTAAGGAACTGCTTCACGCTTCAAAGGTGTTTGGCATGTCCTGTCACCCTAGGTTTTTACAAATATAAGAGAAAGTTGGTGAGGGCAGAAGTATGCCAGGCAAGGTGAACCAGCAGGAATAAGACAACAGGAAGAGGAGTGCACTAGTAAGCAAGTTTTGTTCCAGGCCCACAGTTTAGAGGTCAAAGCTGCTAGGGAGCTTAGATTCAGGAAGATTTAGCATGATCTAAACATGCTAAGCACAATTACTTTTAGCATGACTAAACATGCTAACATTATATTACACTGACACTGATTCCCACAAGCCAGTTATCCCTGTAGATCCACTGGAACCACTGAATATAATTTAAAGCCAGATCCCAGGAATGGGAAGAATCTGGAAGATTCTTAGAGATACTTAAAGAAGTTCTTAGTTGGAAAGTTCAAGTCCCAGGGTGTAAAGAATGCTATCCATAATCCGTCCAGTAAAACAGGCCTAAAATAGTCACACCTGAAACACTGTAAGGTCAGACTATTCTATAATGTGATGTGCATGTGAGGTGACCATAACAGCAGTCCACAAACTTTACCTGGAGCAACATGTGACAGTCCACTACTGAACCATCCCCACAGAAATCACAGCAGTAGTTTGATTTTTGCCAGCTAAAATATGCTTTTGCTATAGCTATGCGATGCTATATAAAGTCCCCAAGGAATTAGCGCTAATCAATATATACTCTATTCCATAATTAGGGACTCTCTCCTACAGGAAGTCACCAGAGCCTCTGAAGCATTTATTCAGGATTCTGAATAAAAGAATCCTATTGGATTTCTGGCAAGAAATCTCTAGCTGAACAACACTATTTATGGGGGAATATTGCTTTGAAAATCAATAATGTCTGTCATTAGCAAGTGTCTGCCTGGGAACATCACATCTTGCAGTTTTCATTACAAATTTAATTCTACTATTTTCTTATGTTCCCATGGATTATGAGATTCATTGGGTACCATCTACTTTTAAAGCTGCTTAACTTGGTCTTAATCAAAATTTAAAGTGGTACATTTCATAATTATTTTTTAAGACACCTTGCTGGTGGAGATTAAAATAAGACAGCATGGATTTCAGTTAAGAAACCTTTCTAGATTTCCACCATGAGGACCCAAGCAGTGAGCAATGAATGGTGAGAATAAAGATGCCAAGTTATCTCTCTTAGGTTGCTATTTATACATATTCTCCATCAGTCAAAGTCTTTAAAAAAAAACAAAAAAACACCCCTCTTTTTACAGGCTGCAGGACTGTACCCCTCAGTCCCTCTGCTTACCTGTCAGCTCTTTCCTATCAACATTCTCCATCACTGGATCACATGTTTGGCTTAATCTTCTTTGTTTCTTCTCAGCTTGTCCATTCTTCAGTTCTAAGTCCACGGCTCAGCTTCTCTTGTTCAGCAATACTGATACGGGACCCGCTCTCCATTCCCTAGGTTTCCTTTGCACATCTGCTCCATTTCATTCTCCTCTCTCCTTCTCCTCTTCTACAACTTTCTCATTCCTGAGCTTTCAGACCCTTTGCTTTGCTTACTCCTGGATGCTTGCTTCTCTCATTCAAAGGGACCCTATGGACTTTATGTCATTTGCAAGGTCTCTATCTCACTTCCTTCATTAACAGTTGCTGCTCCGTTTCCGAACATCTTTTTGCTCACAAAATGTTTTATGATGGTATCCCAGCAGTACAGCCATTGGCAAGAGGCTAGTTCTACTATTTTTTTTTATAGAAATCTACTTAAGATTTAGGTTAAGAAAAGAGACAAGATCAGCCTTGGCCTCCCGGAGAAGCATAAATTCATCCATGCTAATAGCTGATAGACTCCATGAAAACAAAATCTCAAGGTAAGGTACTTCCACAAATATCACCATTTGTTTTGACTGAGATCATAAGCTAGGAACACAGAGACAATAGAGCTGTTAAGACAAATGCCTATCTATTGCCTGGAGAGGGTGAAGCTTCATGGCAGAACTTTTCCTTTCCATGCAAAAGATCCAATTTCTTTTCAGAGCAATTTCTGCTGAATGTTATACAGAGTACAAATAGTAACACTGAAAACAAAATGTATTATTTTGATTCCAAACTATTCAATAAGAAAGTATCTACTTAAAAGAACACTATTACAAAGAAAAAGTAACACATAAGGAAAACCTCAATCTAAAAGTTAAAAAAAAGTATAATAAAAGCATAAAGAACTATTACTTAATAATAAAATGAAATTTCCAATAGTTGTTTATAGTATCTAATGCCTCTGAATCTGGAAAAAACATGCAGCCAACATGTTTAAAGCTGTTCTAGGTAACTACCATAACTCTTCAAGGCCTCATAATTTGGATAATCTAACAGTACATCTAGAACAGTTATCTAGTTCTCAATGATTCTGTATGCTTGTCTTCGCACATTTTCTAGTTCTACAATACCCATTTCAAGGTACAGTGACACATTCATATGTACTCATGCTCTACCCTTTTAGGGCCAAGCAAAATTAGGCAGAGTGCAAGAAAACAGTAAGACACAAGAATCCAGTAGCACAAGAGCTCCGTTTCTGCACGTTGTGGAACACCTTTTGCAAGGCAGACAACAAAAAAGGCATTAACAAATGTATAAGAGTTGAGCAGCAGAGATAGCTTCAGCAGGTGCAATTTTTTCAGCACAGGGCACCTGCTGAAATTTTATCTTCAATAGGAAAAACTCTCCTGGTCATTCAAACAGCAGACTGGTACTAAAGGAAAGTCTATTTCAAGAACTCGTTTACTAAAAATTAAGTAATAAAGTCACATCAAGCTCGGCTGATCTCAAAACAGCCAAACGTGGTTAGCAGGTTCTAGCTGCAGACTAGACTGGGAAGTCAAAACATAGTTAAGAAGAAGGCAAAGTAAACCATTTCGGGGAAAGAATCTATTGAGCAAGCTAAGAAAAATCCAAACAAAACACCATTTGCATTATGCCTTAATGCCTTATTTAATTTTACTTTTAA